TATGTTTCTGAGATGATAATTGTGCACGTTTTTAGTATTTTCTGGAAGATTTTTACCGGATATTTTGAATTCTGCGGCGTTTTAATTGAATTGCAAGTTATCAGGATGTTGAAAAATGTTATGTCAGTACAATGAAAGTCTTATAATGTTGTTGTGGATATTCTGTGATAATTTGGTAAATTTTTGAATCTGTGAATTTTGTGTAAATTTCGTATACTGTCGTTATGCCGCTGATTTTTCGTACGAATTATGCTTTTTTCTGAATTGATACATTAAATGAATTGAAGTGTTTGTATGCTATCAGAAGGAAGTTATAAGGGGCCAGGATCCTTTGAGATTCTGTCTGTGTCAGGAAAATCTGAAATGAGCTCTGAAATTTGAAAATAAGTTATGTTCCGGAATTCCGAATATCTGTTCTGTTCTGTTCTGGTGCTATAAGCACAAAGGGAGGCATAAGTGGCCAGAATCCGTTGAGATTCTGTCAGTGTCTGGGAAGGGAGGCATAAGGGGCCAGAATCCGTTGAGATTCTGTCAGGATCAAGGAATCTGATACGAATAATCTGATATGAATGTGATTTTATCTGATTTCTGATTTATGTACGATTCTGGCTATTCCGTACGATTCTATCTGCTCTGTGACATGAAAGCTTTATGATATCTGTTTTGAACTCTGATTTGAAATGACTTCAGTTTCCTGTATCAGTTGTTTGAATTCTGATTGAGCAAGCATTTGTTCTGTCTGTTCTACGATTTCCATACGGCTATTTTCTGATGTGAATTTCTGATGATTTTGATTGGTGAGTGATGTCTTGCTGAGCTGTTAGCTCATCCTTGTTTTTTTCGTGGTTTTCAAGTTCTGGGAAAGGGAAGGAGGTCTTGGACTAGAAGTTCTGTGTCTGATCTGAGATTAGGTATTTTGTACTTTTGATTTTTGTACAGTCATGACTTATCTGTTTTGTTCTGTTCTGTTCTTTCTGTCTGTAAGTCATGTACTGTATCTGTATATAATTATTTTGATGAAGGAAAAGATAGACGAACTGTTATGTATTTGGATGTTTATAGTAGCTCTGTGTTTTTCTGTCTATTTAATATTTGGAAGAAAGTCTGAAGCAAATTCCAAAGTCAGATCCTGGATTTTCAAAAGTTGTGTCGCGGCCCGATACGAGCGGGATCCGTCCCGGTCGGGTTGGGTCGTGACAGTATGTATGAGTGAGAATTATCATGACATAAGCGAGGTTAGAAATTAAGACCTTAGCGAGAACTTTCAAGGCCCTTACCAATCTGAATAGTTGGCACCGAAAATTAATTGACTAGATTTTAGCAAGAGAGTCAAAAGGGTTGGTTTTGAGTGGACAATCAATTTTGGGTTTGATATAGGATTTTTAGCATTTAGGGTTTCCTCAATGTTGTTAAAGCGCTATTTAGAAATGAAGCAAAGTGATACGCCTTAGCTACATATCGTTTGTTTATGAAGCACAAGTTTGCAGCAAAGCGTGCTTGTTGCACTGCTTTGCCACATTACACCATAATCTAGTGCACCCGACTCCTGCTCATGATGAGATCCTTGTTCATAAGGGTTCATATTTCATGATTCAACCCAACATTTTCCAGGATAACTAGTGATTCTCCTCACTATTTCTTATAGTGATTGAGTCATTGCTCATTAGTTCCCCTTCTTGTCTTCACACTAACTCCCCTACAAAATCTTAAATGCTTCAGTTTTTTTTTGCTACAAACGCCACTAGCTTTTGATCATAAAATTCTTCTCAAGAATGCCCCTCGACAACTAATCTTCACACTCTCTCTCGTTTCACACTATGTATGTCTCTCACTCTCTAGCTATCACTCAATCTAACAATTATATTTTTGATTTCTTATGCATTCTTACATGACTTCATCAATTATACTTTTTTTTTGCTTTTAAAAAGCTAGAAATTATTGGTTCTTAAATGTATCATCATATTTGTTAAAAATGATTACCTATTGTGATTTATATTTGGTTAATTAATTAAATATTGTATACATACATATGGTGAATATAGATTTAACTAGTAATGTATGTATAAAATAACTCATAATTTTTGTGTCACGATGAATAAGGATTTAACTCATAATTTTTGTGTCACGATGAATCTAGAAATTTTTAGTGCTTTGTAAGTTTTGATGACAAATTCTAGGGTATGAGTCTCCTTACACTAATAGGAGGCTGTTACGCCGGCCCAGGACCGATCCACCCTGGACCGGTCAGGGCTTACGCCCGGCGGAAGAAACCCAGCCAGGAGCTGGGCGGAAACTCCTAGGGGGGCCCACTTGTTGTATTTTGAGTTTTGGGAGGGAATTTTTGAATGAGAAGGGTAATTAGGTAAATTGTAATCCTCCTTTCATGTTTAATTAGGAGGAATAGGGGGAAGAGGGGGTCATCTTGAATTGGAATCATTTTTGAGATCTAGGGTTTGTGTTCTTGGGCTCTAAGCTACGGCTAGAGATTTGGAGAGTTTTTCCTTCCTCTCGAATTGAAGGAAAGTTGTATCTTGCAAGTGCTTTTCATTTCTCATTAAATAAAAGTGTTTGCTTCGTTTCTCTTACGTTTTCTCCTTCGTTTTCTCTCCGAATCCACTGTTTTTTGGCTGTTTTCCTGTGTGGACAGCAGATTTCATCCTAGATCTACTTGGTTCTTGGTGTGAAACACTTGGAAACCCAAGTGTTTCCTATCAGAGGCCTAGATTTTATAATCAATGATTTGTATCATTAAAATGTGCTTTCTAATTTTGCATTAAAAGAAATAATATTTGCTTAACTTAATAACTGGGAAATTATAAATTAAGATTTCTTGTGTTTCTTCGTGTATCTCATTCTAAGTTTAAATTAGTGAACCCTAGACCCTAAAACATCTTATAGATCAAAAGGGAAAATCTTCTCAAAGGTAAAAGCGTTACTCTAGACTAATCCTAAGAATTTAACCTCTCTTTGATTCTTGATCTACATCTCCTTGAATTATCCAACGCAACAATTTCGATTCCTCCCTGAAGCTTCTGAAGGCCTAAATCCAGCATTCACAATTACGTTCATTCCTGATATTATTAGAGAACATAACAAGAGTATATTAAATAGGAAATGTCAAAGGTCAAAGTTCCTCTTTAAAAAAGTAAAAGGAAATGGATATTGACCTCAATTGTCTTGCCATTGGACGCCGTCAAAATATCTCCTGGTCTCATGCCTGTGCCACTGATCATATTTTCACAGGCAGCAACAATAAAATGAACCTGAAATGGAAATTTTATGCCCAAGAGGGGCATTACTGCAATTACCAGCAAAGCATAAATTTCAGTAAATAATTACTTATAAAAAGGAAATATCAACTTGCCTCAACTCCTGGAGGTTTGATTTGACCAATAACTTTTGCCGCACCAAAAGCAGCGGCAGAACCTCCCATGTCAAATTTCATTTTATCTATCAAGCAACCTGGCCCTGTCTTTATGTTGTAACCACCGCTGCATATATGCAGGGATAAAATAAATTAAAAGCAGCACCTGGTTTACCATTCAATATCTACTTCAATGGATCTTGCAGGATTTTAGATGCAAAAGGATCAAGAGAAGAGTTAAAAAGTCAAAAGTCCGCCCTTCGAAGCTTGGATGGATGCATTTGCAATTCTTTTGTATTTCACACCAAGGGAAGATTCTGATAAAACTTGAAACTTTGCGCATCTTAAAGGAGATGCACCCCGGAGTGCAATAAATTTATGAAAGTAATGTGAGAATTTAAATCTATAAAATTCACAAATAAGTACGATATCAACAAAATATTGCGGTAAAACTGAAATTTTCATGTGTATTAAGAGTGCACTCACATAAGTAGGATGTAATAAGAGAGTAGAAACATGTCATCAAGATCAAAATGTCTATTATTTTAAAGCTGATGAACAGAAAAATGTTTTTGCCTTTATATACTTTGTAGTACCTGTCAAACGTTAATCCTTTTCCAACTATGGCTAACTTGGTTTTCACATCACCACTTGGAGGTTTATAACATAAATGGATGAAATGGGGGGGATTGGAAGAGGCTGCAGCAACACCCAGATATGAACCCATCTTCAATTCCGTGCATTGTTCTGCATCTAATACTTTTGCTGTAAAGACATCATTGTACACGGAAGCAACTTTTGAAGCTTCTTCTGCCAGCACGGCTGAAACATAACAGAGCAGCGTTCAGAATATGTTTCAATATCAAAATAAACACACAGCTTGATAATGAACAATGCTATCCAAACTAATTGTACTATTCAGTTAAAAGATATATAGTTGGGGATGAGTAGAATCCAAAGGAACCCAGATAATACTGATAGGAAATACTTGAGTTCGCAAGTAACCCTAAGGTAATACTTGAGTTCGCAAGCAAACCTAACCCAAATCGGTGAACAAACAGCAGCCAAATGGCTGTCCACAGCAGGAAAACAGCAGAAATCTGCTGTTTACAGCAGAAAAACAGCACTAGTCCGGGAAAATCTGAGAGAAAACTCAAAGAAAAGCTTGTATTCCACTAGACGATGAATAAAATAGCAAGATACAATTGATCCTCAATTCGAGAGGAGGATCGATCTCTCCCAAATCTCCAGACGCCGCTAGAGCCCAAAGAAAACCTAAATCTAAGAGATCTCAAATTTCAGCCAAATTCAAGATTCCCTAACACTAGGAAAATCAACTATTTAATGCTTACAAATCAAAAGGAAATCCCTAAAGAATCCCTACATTCAAATCCATTCCTAATCTTCCTCCAAATTTCTTCCTAAAACGCTCCCGCAAGGCAAGCGGCTCGCGCGGCCTCCGCCCAGGCGGAAAACTTCCGCCGTTTCGCGTCTAGGCCGGTCCTGCGTGGACCAGCTGGATCGGTCCCGCGTAATACTACTGGATTGTAAAAATACCTAATTCACAAGTATAATTTCCAAATAAATACATGAATCTTGAGACAATTCAGGGAGGTGGGCCAAAATTTAAATTTGCTAAGAAAATCAAATCAGTGACCAAGTGAACTCAAAATGACCAAAAAATACCACCATAATGACTAGCTCATCAAGCCAAACTCATCGACACACAAAACAAACCTCGAACAGGACCATATATAGTTCAACTTAAACTAGACCGGCTTCGTTCCAATGAAACCTTCTCCTTCACACATGGTAGGTAAATGCACATGAAGGAGGTGGCAACCCTTCCAGTTGTTGCCCCTGTAGTCACCCTTGGGCAACTTAGATAATGTATATGCATCCAGAACACCATCAGATCATTGCCAGCTGCCTAAGTCACCCTCAATCTCTATGGGTAGGCCAAGGTGTGGCTCATAGGTAATATCGCTTTGTCAAATTTAGTACATAGGAGGGCACAATCAACACCATTCTTTGCTACTACAAGGAATACTCTAGATTATTCAAAATAAAGATATGGAATACCCTTCTTAAATCTCTAAATAGCTACTTATTCAATTCATTGGGCATGGTGTAGAGTTTTCAAAGCTCAAAGAATCAAATCCTAAGAGAAATATTCAAGCAGGTATCATTGAGGCGTAATGATTTTCTAAGTCTAAAGGAGCCTGGATATTTAAGGAAATCCTAAAGGAATCCAAATCCTTGGGAAAATCCTACAAGTATTCATCACCATATTAATACTTGCATTGCAACTTTACTTGCATCACAGTTGTCTTCCTCAAAAGCCACACCACAATATTCCCTATGTCCCAACCATCTCTTTCAAACCAAGTTGTAATATTGCTTGCACTGTAACCATTTTGTTAAGATTATTGCTCTAACATAGCTTACGTCCCAATCATCTTCATTAAGATCTATGTCGCAACCTCGTCTCATAGTCATCATGTTTAAAGGCCTACCCCACAATCTCATTCTCATAGTTGCTCCCTTGAGACCTTATTTGAATCATAATTGCCACCATAACTTAGTCTGCATTGTAGTTGTCATTGTATAAAAAGACCTACATCATAATGTCACCTGGGCCATAGCATCTCCCTCAAGACCTACGATGTAAACTAAAGCAGTAGTCATCTTCACATTAAGATCAGCACAGTAAACTTGCTTACTTCACAGTTCTCTCCCTTAAAACCTTAGTTGCAATATTGAATTGCATCCATAGTTGCATCAGGACATGCACCATACTCTCACACGTTTTGCATTAATCCCCTTCAAGATCTGCATCACGACAACTTCACTGCAACCATCTCTAATGAGACCTGAGCCATACCTCCACTGAACCTAAATGGCAACTTCCTTTAGTCAAGATGAAAAAGGCACCTCCAATTTAATCATAACCCTAATATATATATCTACAATATTCATAATTGACATGTGCATAGATCGATCAGCCTTAATGCCGTTAGCATTGCCTTAAAGGCACCGTGTATTGTACTTCTACTTACCTGAAAGGTGAACCACTCTTCTACTAATTTTCTACAAATTGCTGCTCATCTAGAAAACGACCTAAGGTTTTTTAGTCTAAGAATTTTACAAGTAAAAAAATCACATCTTGCCCTCTTCTTCATTTGATTGATTATGTGTGTGATAATAAAAAGAAGTAAAGAACATAGATGCTTATATTCAAATCATTAAAGATATGTATGCAGGAGCTATTACTTGTGTTCAAACACAAGGTGGATTGACTAAGTATTTCCCTATTTAGGTTGGGATGAGCCCATATCTTTTTGCTTTAGACATGGATGTTCTCACTAGACATTTGCAAGAGGATCTACCTTGGTGTATGCTTTTTGCTGATGATATTCTTCTTGTTGATCTAAAGGTTTTCGCTTGAGTAGATCTAAAACGGAATATATAGAGTGTAATTTTAATAGTAATAGACCTAGTGAGGGGATTGTGACTTTGGGCGATCAAGTCATTAATAAGAGTACACGTTTTAGATATCTTAGATCTATTGTTCAGAGTGATGGTGAAATAGATGGGGATATTATCAGCAGAATTCAAGTTGGATGGTTGAAGTGGAGGAATGCATCGGGCTTGTTATGTGATAGAAATGTACCCCTCAAACTTAAGGGAAAATTCTATAAGAGGGTAGTGAGGCCTGCAATGCTTTATGGTGCCGAATGTTGTCCATTAAAAGAGAAGCATAATACTAACTTAAGTGTGGCAGAGATGAGGATGCTCAGGTGGATGAGTGGCTTTACCCTTAGAGATAAGATACGAAATAAGCATATAACAATGCCCTTAACCATTAAAAAAGGATAATGCATCATCTTAGAAATAAATTATGATCAAGGAACAAATAAACACTAGGGGCAACCCAAACTGCAGCTTCGAAAGGAACATTCACATCAAAGTTTTGTGGTTATTTAGTGCACATCCACCATCATATTAGTATATGAATCGAGGTGTATGCTATCCATTAATGCATAGTCCTAGAAAATAGTTAATACAATGATCAGCGTATCAAATATTGCACTCTTAACAAACATCAATGGTGATATCAAATCTTGACCAAATGTCTTCTCAATCTAGCTATCATATATAGTATGTTCACGTTACTTCCACTAATTCGTTGATGCAACCTTTTCCTCACAGTTGTTGCCACTTATTGGCTTGCAACACTATCGCCTTAGGTTTGCGACAATCTCTAACTCTAGGTTCACCATGGTTTAAAATTACCATTGCACCAACATTAAGTTCGTTGTTGTTGCACCCCTTGGGACTAAAAGAATTATCGTGACTTGATTGGTCACATTTTCTATCCTTGGGTTTAGTGTTTTCGTGATTTTTTTGTCCACACGTCCTCACATTGCACCTGTCATGAGCCAATTGAAATCACCACCTTCAGGTGTGCTACATCTACTACCTTAGGGCCAACCGGCCAACCACTACAACCATCTCCAAATTGGACATAGTTGCGGCCCTTAAGAAGGTTAGTTACCTCCTTTACATCTAGCATGGTTGTGATCACTGTGGAAAATTATGCAATACGAGACGCACATTGAAGCATACATTAGCATAATTTGGACTCAAAAAGCATTGTGGCGCACGCCTCTTGAAGTTTAGTCAAGGAGTAAGAATCACATATTATGAGGCGCACCTCACCTCATTTACTTGAGGTTTTTGCTTCTTAATTTTAGGTTTTTCTTGATGTAAATACTATTTAAATATTAGTATCCTAATAACTCTTAGTTACCTGAACGCCATAACACACGTACACAAGCCCACAGGTCCAAGACTTTCGTCTGCTTCATCAAAGCACCCACCGACCTTCTCCAACCCAACTGCTGGTGCCTGCCATCTCCAACACTATCTACGTCGTCGTCGTCCCCTCCTCCTAGCCAAGTTTGCCTTTTTTCACAAGGATTTTTACTTCTTCAACTAAATTTTTCTCAAGCCAGTTGCAATCTCTAAACCCTACTTTCTTTCTTTACGACAATATACTTTCTTTGCATGATTTAGTTAGGATTTTTATTCTTTTGAATGTTTGCATATTTTTCAAATTTGTTTGAATCAAAATTTGCATTCTAGGTTTTTGTAAGAATTAGTTAAATGAGGAGAAATTCACAAGGGGTCATAGAAAGGATCCATCTTGGAGACAGTGTGCAAATGGACGTTGGAGAATGTGGCAAAATATGCTTATTCAAAGTCCAATTATTGTGAGAAGGTAGTTAAAAGGGGTGTTACAAGGATGAAAGGACGCCTCTTTAGCTCATAGAAAAAATGAGCACTATATGACAAAGTGCAAGAAGCACTAAAAGTAGTGATCCATTCATATATGAATAAGTCGACGATGTCAAAGCTCCTCGTGAAACAACATCTTGATAATAGAGATAACATCGGCTCTTATTATGAGAGTGAACACGGTGACAGGAGTCATCCTCATCCTTGCTACCAATGCCAAGTAGAGGTATAAGAGGTCCAAGAGATCACTGCATGGTAAATTTGAAGGATGACATACATGAAGAGAATAGAATACTAGAGAGGCAAGTAGACATGTTTGCATAGATATTAGGAGGTTTTTCTATAAGAATGGCATTCTATTCAAAGTGGGAACCTTACCTAATTACTTCAAAATGATATGTTTTACAGGTACTTATAGTTTGAGAGTTGAAAGACCCATCCTTGAATAACTTGAGAACTAGAGTATTGAAGGAGTTGAATCCCTCAAGATCTGAGGTTAGCCAACTTCCTAGTGAATTTGTGAATCTCTCAAATGGACTTCAGCGAAGGCATGTCAAGGACGGCTTGCACCTTGTCCGGATTAGCTTTTACTACTTTGGCTAATATCAGGTAGCAGAGAAATTTTTCTTTGCAGTTGTTGAACAGGCACTTAAAGAGCTTAAGCCCCATTCCATATTTATGGCGCAAAGTGAAGGATTTGATGAGGTCAACTAGATGCTTGTTATCCTCCTAAATTTTGATTATATAAACCTCGAGGTTTTGACATTTCTGGCTTTGAAAGATTTTGTTCATCAGTCTCTAATATGTCGCTTTGCCATTCTTGAGATTGAAGTGATGACTTTACAACATAAGGTATCAATGTCGGTAATGGAACTTGTTTTATCCACGTCCTTGGGATGCACGTGGATCTAATGGTAATTTGGTAAAGCGCAAAGAAAACTCAGTCTAGAGAATCTAACCACTAAAGCCACCAAAGCAAGGCTTTTCAATAGTGGGTAGGAGTTGTTAGGGCAAGCATCGTTGGCCTTTTTTGAAGTCAATGCACATTCTTTAACTTCGTTGACCTTTCTAACGATGATGACATTAGTGACCCAATCAAAGTATTGGATGTAGCAGATGAATCTTGCTTTTAGGAGTTTCACTACCTCCAAAGCAATGGTAGTTCACATCTCTTTAGAAAACTTTCATTTGTTTTGCTTGATATTTGGTCAGTCACGAAACAAGTTCAGACGTTGGATTACTACACTAAGGTCGACTCCAAACATCTTAAATGGATTCAATGCAAAAGCATCAATGGCAGTGTATTGATCAATAAGGTACTCTTTCGGATGTCCTTCCCGGATAAGCTTCTTTAAGAAGGCTGTAAGGACATGCCACTAATCGGTGTTGTGCCCATGGCCTTCATGGCATTGCTTGGCAAAAGTTAGACTTGTCGTGAGTGTCAGAATACTTTCATAAAGAAAAGGGTCATTTATAACATTCTTTCTAGTGGAAAAATAATGGTAGCAAGGGATTAGTTTAAATGAGGATGATTGATGTGCATATATTCCTCATGAGGACGCAACAAAACTTTTATTGGACTCGATAACACCAAGGACGACATACTCTGTAGTGATAAGAGAAGTCAATTATAGCTTGCCTCGAGTAGTGATCAGGATGGTGCAACACGCCTTCTTGCTCGGTAAACTTCCCTAAAGGATTTTCAGGAGACATAAGGATGTCTCGATCTCCCAAACAAACTCTTTAGCACATGCACTTGACAATCTTCTGTAGTAAGTCCTCAAGGGTTATCAACAGATTTTTAGCAATTAAGAATTTGAAGTTTCTAGGCTTGCAACCCCAAAAAGGCTGCTTTAGCGAGATTGTTGTTGCTGTCAGTAGCCTCATAAGAAGCTACGTTGAAGAGATGGGTGTAGTCCCTGAGGAACTCACCAACTTTCTGTTTGATGCACAAGGGAGACCAGGTGGTTTTCAATGGCTTTTTTGAAGTAGTGAATTGAGACAAGACAAGATAGTAGAACTACTCAGAAGAGGTGATGCACCTGATAGGAAAAGAATTGGATCATCTTCTGGCCTCATCTTTAAAGGTGTTCACAAAGAGTTGGTCCATGGAGTCATTAATCTTGTACTTAGATGTTAGGTTCTTGAAGGCGTCCAAGTTGTCCACAGGGTTGGTTGTTTATTACCAAGTTTATAACTATAGATCTTTGAACTTAAGCGAGACAGCTCCTCAACAACGTCTGGCACAAAGGGAGAATTAAGGAGTTGGAGGCGAGTTGAGAGTGGTGGCTAGATTCACCAATCACAATCGATTTGCCTCAGTTTAGGGTATCAACGGGTAGGGCTATGAACACCATAGGTTGCTACAATGGGACTTTGATGATGTTAGTAAGGTCGGACATCTGCTAACAGATATCATCGAGGTAGGTATTCAAATAATGGTGCATAACAAAGATGTTGCTACTCGAATGTTCACTTATGGTGGTATAAGCAAGGACATAGTGATGAGATTATCTCATTAGTGTAGGAAGCGATATTCAAAATTGAAAGATTCCAACAGACGGTGCCAAATAGATCAAACTCATCAAGCCGAGGTGACAACAGGGAGTACACACATCAATGAAACATTAAGAGAGATATGGAAACACACTGCTCACGCTATTTACTCAAGAAGGAGATAGAAGAATTCCACACAATGAGATCAGATTGAGAGAAGAAAAGAAGAACATATAAGAATTATCAAAGATTTTATAGTGGTTCGATAGAGAAGACTATTGTACATGATGCCACTAATGAAAGAGATATCACAAGTTAAATGAAAACTATAATCCTTTTCTACACTTTAGTAGGAGAAAGAAGAGCCTCTTATCTTTTGAGCTACAAAGAGAAGAAGTGTTTTCTCTACAAAAATGGGAAACTGGATGATTTTTTCCTCCCTTCCTAGCCAATTCTAAATCTTGCTCCCTTTTCCTTTGCTCCTATGTGAGAGTACCCTCAATGTGTAGTATTATGTTTGTTTGTTTATTAATTCATGGAGTCAGGGTAAGCCCTTCAGATAAGGATGACGAGGCATGGTGTTAGGAATAAGGATCGTTGTGCAGAGCAAGTTGATAGAGCCTAGTAGTAATTTCGGCAAACAATGATGTGGATAAGCTAAAGATTGTGGGGGATAGAAGTTTACGTGGCACCAAAAGAAGTAATAGTTCAACAACCGACTTCCACATTTGACGAGGCATGGTGTTAGGAAATAAGGATCATTGTGCAGAGCAAATTGATAGAGCCTAGTAGTAATTTCGGCAAACAATGATGTGGATAAGGTAAAGATTGTGGGGATAGAAGTTTACGTGGCACCAAAAGAAGTAATAGTTCATGTCATATTCTAACATAATGTGCCATCATGAACTTACGACTAGCGTGTGGGCCAAGACGGTGCGGCATGCTATATTTCCTTTGGTAATGTTAGAAGGATGATAAAGGCTATGATAGAGTTGATTCATGAAGACAATTTAGATCTAAGGATAGAAGTTCCCCGAGGTGTCACAAGGCTGGCAAGGACAAAGGGCATAGTCAAGGCCTCCCCTCCTAAGGATGTCCTTTAAGGCGAATGGCAGAAAAGATGTGAGTCGATGTTGACTAGATGAACAGGTGCCACACATAGAGTTGTGATGATTCCACAAGTCATGGGACTTTCGGGGTTACACTGCCTATTGCTAACCACTGTCACTCATCTTTGCCGCTCGCCACTCGCAATTAATGCCTACTCACTCATCAATGCCACCATTGTCGCTACTTTCTCACAATCACTCATTGTTGGCCTATCAACAACCGACTTCCACATTTGTCTACTGTCAACGCCCACCCTCCCCCCCACACACACACACACACCCTGTCACTATTCATTATATTTCAATGAATATAAAATATATTATAAAAATACAAAAAATATTTCAATTTATTGTATTTGCATCAAACCAAACAACTCATGTATTTGTAAAACACGTGCATTCTAGCTACTCTATATTTTTATGCATGCATTTTAAAAAATCCAACTAAACAACCCGAATTGATTCTAGGATAGCCAATATTTGGCTTGAGTTAACTCAAAAAAGGAAAATCACGTCAAGTTGGATCAAGGGGAAAAAAAAAAACTTCCAAGTTTAGAGCTTAGTCCATGCCAGTTGCTATAGAAATTTTTTTAGCTACATTCAGAAACTCAGCCGCTCTTTTAATCTTCAAGTCTCAAACAAGCGGAGTTGGTCAAAGCAATAAGAGATAACCTAGTTGTCCAAAATTCAGAAACTCAAAAACATTAGAACATGAACGCTTACCTGGTGTCAGAACATTAGCAGGAGAATTCACAAGCTCTCTTGCAAAGATGATTCCTGAGCTAACAGCATTTGAATACTTGAGCTTATTATCAAGTTCTGGTCCAAAACCCAATCCAATAATATCCACTGATTTCAAGTAAGGTTTTTTTGACTCTGACTTGTATCTGTTGTCTTCATGCAGTCCCAGCACAATTCCTGCAAAGCAGAAAGGAGGAAGAACAAGTTAAAAGCATCGCAATATCAATCCATAGCCCTCATATATATCAGCATGCAAAGTCTAGCCTAGCCGCATCCTAATCCCAAGATGCGAAGATCGGACAGAAATATCACCTATTGAAATTGCTGAAGCAGCAGTTAACTTAAATTCTTCTGAAACTCCATTTGTAGATGCAAGAACTATAGCAGCACTACTTGCTTGGGCAGCCTTTGCAACTGCTGCAATGGCCTCGCCAATGTCTCGATGAGTAGCTGCCACAGAAGTAGCACTTTGGCTCAGACCAAAAAGACCAAGCCTTCTGAAACCAAATCCAGGAAACCTGAGAACCATAGACTGCCCATTTTTTCCCTTGAAATCCTCCTCAATAGAAGCATCACTCAGAAGACCATTTAGTTGCCCATCCAGCCTTTTCAAAATTGAATTCAAGAACTTCAAGTCTTCATCCTTCGACATATCACTCTCAGATACAGCAATTGCAAGCAAGTCACCTTTCCATTCTGCAAAATCAATCTCCTTTGCAGAGAATGAGACCTGCATTGGTTGATGGATAAGCAAGATAGATATTCGGTCTTTAACAAAGAAAATATCATAATCCCCATCATAAAACAACACGCAATGTTGGCAAAAGATTCAAACGACAACCAACGGTTAATTGTTGTTCATATGGACATCATAACATATAACACATAGTTATCACGAAGGTTAAGTACTTTCCGACAAAACAAAATTGTAAAGAACAAGGAAATGTGTTAATGTCAGATATCTTAGAGTCTATTACTAATGCAAATCTACAATAAAATGTACACGATTATGAAAAACACAAACTTGAAGATCACAAAACTCTTAATTTGAATAATTATTCATTACTTTAGATGACAAATAAAGAAACAGAGAAATCGAGAACAATTGATAATTTAAAAAAATTCAAACAAAAATTATGCATAGAAATTTGGAAACATGAACACCATACAAATGATAAAAAATAAGTTATTTTAGATATCAAGATAAATAAAATTGTCTAAAATCAATCGAACATACAAACCTAATCAATATTTAGAGAACGAAAATAGAATAGAAAACATGAGACAATCAAATTAAGCCACTCATGTGAAGATAACCATACCGGAAAAATCTTCATACTCAAGAGGACAAATATTGTACGTTCAATTAATTTCTTTTTTTTTTTAATAGTTTATTGAAGTTTTGAATGCCTCAGAATCCGCCTATGATCAAAAAGGCCGCTAAATAAAAATTAGAAAAAAAGTCAGCAGCGGAAATCTCACATAATTTGCTAAAAACCTGCGGGAATAGTTTATCCATAGGAGTAGAGTACCCAACAACATCTCTAAGAGTCGATCCACTTGAAAAAAAAAACATAGTAAAGCCACCAACAGATCCAACCTAAATCAATATGCCGCAAGAACAGTATACCCCCAAGGACCAAATCTAGCAGAATAAAACCGGTTGAGTACCGTAACTGTTAAAGTTGTCGAAAAATAAATACAAAAAGTTCCAAAATCGGCTTACAGCATAGTGAATCCAAAGAAGCAAAATATCTGATGATCAGCAAAGCACCAATAATCCCTCATAATCAGGTAACACATATACATGTTTTATTGAAATGAAAATCTGAAAACTAAAAGAAACATGCAAATTAAAATTGTATTTCCATTCTTTCTTCCCAACACACACATATTGAGTCATCAATGACTAGAATTTTGAGATTTGTATCACTTAAGCCCAATTTGAAAAAAATTCAACTCCAACAAATTTTCCATCTGACATTCGTCAAATAATTTTGAGAAGGAATAAGAGAGTAGTTTGTGAGGTGAAAGGAAAAAAAAAAGAGAAAGTAGTTAGAGGTAGAAGAAGAAAGACACAAAGCCAGCCGAGAAAAGAAAGAGGAATGCAAGAAAATCACTTGACTCTTTTCTTTGTAGCCATGGTAAATTGTCTCAATGCGGAGCAAGCATTGTGGTCAATGCAAGCTTGGTAATGTTGCAGACAATCATGGTAATGCCAAAGGAAACTTCCATGGCGCCAGAAAATACCCTTTTATTATGATCGTCTGATGAGGACATCGATCAAAGGTTCAAACATGTGTATCGCCGGAAGCATCGCAGATCGATGGCCACGATTCAGAGCTTATATTTCTAGTTGTTTATGCATTTTATTTTTATGTCTTCCTATTGTACCCTTATGTTGAGTTGAGTCATGTTGGGGCCCTGAGGGCAATTTAATCTTTATTTCTTCTTGTATGCTTGAGACCTATATATATGGGTCTTTTCTCTTGTAATAGCTAATGAATTTTGAATGAAAAAGTTATGTTTTGTTTCTACTTTTCTAGCATGAGTGCTTGAGAGAGAAGAGAGCTCAAGGGGAGCAATTCGCAAGGTCCACCAATCGTTGGAAGAGTCCGCGGCTCGTGGTTAGGTCTCGATCATCGCGTTCGTATTTTCCTCCATTTTCTTCACCTCCACTACAAGAATTCCCTCCTCAACCCCATTGCCGCCGCCCCTTGGGAAACCGCCGCCGACATTTCCCTCCTAATCTATTCAAAACTGAAATTAACTTTCAGTTTTGATTAATCTCCCCCCATAATTTCCTAAACCTCTTTTTCCCTACCTCCTCCTTCTTGCACCCGCCGAACCCCACCCTCTCTCCTTGGGATTCCTGCCGACTTTATCTCCTCCTCTCACACCTTTTCAACTACAAGTGCTCTCTCTCCACACCACGTTCTTCCTCTCTTCTCATGAAAGATTCTCCTACGCCAAGCATGCATGGCGGATCCGGAGATCGATAGTGGATTAGTGTTTGATATCTACGGTGACATCCATATCACCCGATCTCCATTCTTCGACGTCGGGTTCGGATCCAACGACACAGTTGAAGACTACTTAAATCGCATTTTTTCCACGCTCATAGACGTCATCGACGAGCAATTCGAAGACTATTCGTGGACCGTCATCGGCTATCCGTCCGTGCCTCCTCCACCACCGCCAACCTTTCCGTGGCTCAAGACCATCGGTGTTGCGGCCCTCCTCATGGCATCGTTAAGTGTGTTGAAGATCATCTCCCGCTAAGCCTAGTGTAGTTGAGTGATTAATCCCCAAGGTGAAAACTCTCATTATTAATTTGCGGATTGTTGGTTAATAGCTTTTGGTATTGCTACTATCTTTGGTTACCTATGGGTTTTGGTTAATCTACTTGTACTCCTTCGCCTAAGCAAGTCAAAGACTAAGGTTCTTTAATGAATTTACTTGTTATTTCAATAAGTTATTGATTGATATTACATTGTCCATCGTTCTTAAATTTCTTAACAAGCTCCTTCGCATAATGTTTCACATCATCGTCAAGGAAGGAAATATAAAACTTAGCAAGTTCCATGAAAAATATTTTGCATATAGGGAGACGCAAAACAAGAATAATTTATATCAAAAGAAACCACATTTAACTCTCTTTTAGACAACCTAACACCTTTTAACCAAGAAGATGGGCTTATGGACAGATAGATGACGGTAAGCGTTAGTCTATTATTTATTAAGTGTGTATTCAACATATTATACAAGAAGACCCTACTGCACTAATAAAAGTGCCACCAAATATGTATGAAACCCATTGACAAAGACAACTAGTTCCACTTCTAGAAAACTAGATGCAATGATTTTGGTTGCGACATTTTGGATGAATAAAATCAAAAGATCATTAAAAGGAGAAATGTTATATTCAATGAAATTGTTATATGCAAAGATAGTTTTAACAATGCCAAAAAACAAACCTCCATGTGTGAACAAGTTATCCGTAAGGAGAATTCTAAAAATAATAAAGTGACTACTCATAATATTGAGATATGATTAGAGTCAAGTGCCCTTGAGATAGAGTTGAGAATATCCCAAAATATATTTAATTCCAATCACAAATATTCTTAGTCCTTGTGACACTTCTTGTTAATTGATGAAATAAACTTGAGTGTCTTAAAGAAGTAAAGAAGGTTAACAACTCTCATTCATCACATGGACTCCTAATATAAGAAAAAGAAAAAAGGGTCAAAATGGTCTCTTGAATTTTTATGAAAAACCAAATAGTCTACATCTATATTAAAATACCATTTTGGTCCATCAACTCTTTAAAGAGTAACCAAAATAATCCCACCATGGGACTATTTTGATTCATTTTAAAGACTTGAGGGATCAAAATGGTCCTTTAATATAGTTAGGGACCATTTTGGTCCTGTATAAAAAATACCATTTTGATCTTTTTCTGATAAGAAAAATGATATTTGAATATTAAATAAGCTATCAAAGGATAAGTGGGCATTGCAAAACAAATAAATTTAAAAAACAAGGGAGATCACAGTGACAATTAAATGTGCAAAACACATTTGATAACAAAGATTTCAGTAAAATGAATATAATATATCAATTTCAATATGCTTTTTTTTAATTATTAAATAGGCTATTATTAGACTGATGTCAAGTATAGTGGTAGTAAAAAAACTCGCACCTTGAGTAGTTAAATGTCAAATCAATTTTCTTCGTGATAATTTGAAGGGCATCTACATTATGCACCTAAATGTTTTGAAGTCTCTACAAGAAAATCCCTTGTTTATAAATTGAATAAAAGCAGTGTATGGATTAAAAGAGGCTCCTTGTTTCCAAAATTTTGATAGGTTCATGTATCGAATTGACTTTACCAATTGCAACACAAATTATTATTATCACATCAAAGGAGTTGGCAAAAACTATATCATATTGCTTTATATGTGTTTGAATAGAAAGAATTGTAAAGGGCTATATTTTTACTGTAATATTGTATTGTTTGCTTAATATATAGAAGCATATCCGTGTCTATAAATAGTCAAGTAGATAAGAGAAGAGAATAAATTTTACAAAAATAAAATCAGGAATATATTTAATAATGAGAAATATAATAATAAAAGTAGTGTAGATTCTTACTATTTGGCGGATGTGAAAATTTATATATCATAGTAATGTGAATGGCATTGATTAAAGGAGCAGATATTAATGAGATAATTACTCATGATAGATTGGTGGTACATTGAAACCATTCGTCTTAATTATATTGAGAAGGTCTAAAGCAAATTTAATATGTTAAAAGGCAAAATCTACAAGTACTTCTAGGCTAGCCATTTTAAACTCTTAACGAAAAAAATCATCTAAAACAAAAGAGATAAGGCATACGGCCAAAGTTTCTCGTATTTCAATAATTGGCTCACTAACAAATGCTATGATGTGCAAAACATCTACTATATTTCATGTAGTGGGAGTAAAATATGTATATGTCAACTCTAGGAAAGGCACGCTTGGAGGCAGTGAACAAATAGCCACAACGACAACAAGCCTTTATCCCATTACATGGGGTCAACTACATGAATCCTCTTTCTGCATTGTGTTCTAATAGGAATCAAATTCTCATTAATTAAAATCGAATAAAAAAAATATCATTTCTAATACTTTCTAACCAAGACTTGTTAGGCCTACCTATACCTTTCTTTAACATAGACCGTATCT